GAACACATCTCTCTCTCTCTCTCTCTCTCTCTCTCTCTCTCTCTCTCTCTCTCACACACACACACACACACACACACACACACACACACACAAAGGCGGTCCGAAAGGGGCTCCGAAATCCCCCGACAGGTAAGTGCGCTGGGGGGGGCCGGCTCCCAACCGGGTGCCCTGCCCGGCCAGGCCGCCCAAGACCTCCCCCGGGCCTCTGCCGGTCACCCTGGCGGCCCGGATCCCCACTCAGATTTTTTTCAATTTTATTATTTTTTATTCAATAAAGAATGTCGATGTGACCCCAAGGCAAAAGTTGTTCAGTTAATTTTTCTGCATAACATAGCAGCACAGGCAATCAAGGTGATCTGGGCAGCCCCGCTGGTAACCCAGGTTTGAACTCAATTCAGACTCTTCAGAGTTTGGATTATTTGCCCACGCACAGCTTGGTTGGGACCAACCAACCAAGATTGGGCCCAAATTGAGCCTCATCTTGGTTGGGCCCAACTTCGGTTGGTGGGCCCAATCTTCATTGGTTGGGCCCAACCAACCGAGATTCGCCCCAATCAAAATTGAACCAAATTGGGCCCCCATCCTTGGTTGGCTGGGTTGCATTCTGATTGGTTGGGGCCCATATTGGCTGATCGTGCCCACTCATTTCCGTTTGTTTTCCGTTGGCCTCTTACTCACTCAGACGAAGACCGGAACTGCCAAGGAGAACAGAGAGCCGTCGATTGGGCCCCATCTTCGTTGGTTGGGCCCTATCTTGGTTGGTTGGGCCCAATCTCCGTTAGCTGGGCCCAGTCTTGCTTGCCCAGTGGAGCCATGAATGTGTGAAACACTGTGAAACCATATCCGATATATTGAGCGCTCAGACGGGAGTCACGGGACACATAGTATTGACGCAAACTGAACAAACAGAAAGGTGGCCGATCTTTTTCATTGAACAAGCATTTTTCACATTACTACAGTTGGGCCAAAAACCATTCTAATGGCCTTCTTCCCTCGAGTGTGTGCTTCCTTGTGTCGTTTGTCCCGTTTACCCAATCAACATCAGCGACTGCCTTGTCTGAATCCGGATTTTCAACATTATATTATTATAGTATAATATTATTACAGTACTATTATAGTATTATTATAGTAATAATAATATTATATTATAGTATTATTATAGTATAGTTTTATTACAGTACTATTTAGTATTTTTATAGTATTATTATAGTAATAATAATAACAATCATAGCTGTTTGGAAGACAGTGGGTTCGAAGTTTGAACTCATGACTTACTCATCAACAAGTTAGGGGTGTATTTGATTGGGCTAACATAACGGCCAAAGCTGCTAGCCATCCTCACTTCAGTGCCTACTCCTGTTCTAGTTCTAGCCCCAGATCAATCGTGCGAAAAGATCCGTACTCTCCTGAGTCAAGACAGAATTGTGTCAAAGGATTCCAAGCGGAGTTCAGAGCATCAACACTGCAAAAGCATGAGTAAACATCCCAGGCTTCCCGGCCCACCAACAATGCAATGAAACGCGCTACGTGACAAAAACATCAGCAATGTACGCACTCTTCTGAGTCGAGACTGCGTGCTAACGATTAATACTATGTCAAGATTGTCAACAGATTTGGAATTTCAAACAGAAAAAAAAAAAAAAGCCAAGAGCATCAGCACTGTTATAGCTCGCAACAGAACGAGTAAACCTTCGGCCCCAGTAAGACTGCGCTGAAACTCGCCAATGCAAACTGGAAACAAACACACACAATGAAGTGTTTGCTGAGCCGGGAGCAGGTCAGCATCTCCCTCGATAAGAGCGGGAACTATGGACTAAATGAACACACACGATTTAGGCTGCACACGCTCGGGTGAATCTAACCCTCCTATTATTCAAGCAAAAGAAAACAAAATACTGAAACACACATGACAACTGAAAACGGCAGGGAAACAGAAATGCACACCAAAGCTCAAACACGAACAGAGTGAAAACGAGCCCCAAAATAACTGATACAGACACCAAAAACAAACGGAAAATGCACAGCGAAACTGAAAAGACGCAACAAAACTGAGAACACAACAGCGAAGCTAAAAAAACGTGCAATGAAGCCGAAAACGCGAGAAGGGACTGAAAATGTGCACTGAAATTGAAAATGCGTACAACAACTGAAACAAGCTATGCAGCTTCAGTTCCAGTGCGCATCAGTGCACGTTTCAGTTTCTGGCTGTTTTTCTGCACAACTTCAGAGATCAAACACAGCTGCGCAAATAGAAGATCCAGAAAAACTAACTCAGAGATCGCATCATCACTACACTAAGCTATGTGTTTTTCCCTTTTTTTCATTGCAATGAAAGGTCAGCAGCTCAAAGCTGATAAGCTTCTGAGGCAGTGGTAAGTAATAGTATAACTACATACACATCCGTTGACTCTCATGGACCGCACAACATTCACAATGGCCACATTTCCACAACACCCACACCACACACATAGACATACACAATAAATGCCAGATGCATACAGTTATTATTATTGTTATGGAGAAAAATGTTAAATGCACATTCCCTCTTCCCCAATGAGCCAAAAGGTTTCAAAATATAATCTTCCAAAACCACACAGAACAATTTGACCTCTATCCGCCCGAGACTGGTACCTGAGAGGGAAGACGTCACTGCTGCCGGGTCTTCTGTCGTCCGCCAAGCATGATCCGTTCTGCATCCCCACTCCAACTCTCCTGTGAACATCGCCATCACCCAAACTCTTCGGGATACTTGCAGCACCTGCATCTTCGTTCCGATTTGGCTTTTCGTACGCCGGTGCCGGCCCCCGCGTCTCCCAAAGAGGAGGTATCGCAGAAACAAGACTGCCAAGCAGCTTCCCAACCAACCAGGGCTTTCCACTCCCACTGGCCCGGGGGCCAGAAGCAGCACCGGTGTCCGTTCTACTTCCGCGGTCATCCCCGTGGGCATGAGACAGGGGCTGTACTCTCTGGTCGGACTGCGAGCGCGAGCCTGTGAGGACCCCCTCCGCCGGACCTTCCCCTAGAATGCCGCGACAATCCAGACCCCACGCCCGTGACGCTGGTCTGTACCACTGCCTGACGCACACACGATGATCCGACCATCGACTCGGGATTTTGCACCTCACCTGCTCGCCAGCTTGTTCAGTATGTGCAAGCAACGTTTCCTGCGCTTCACCTCCTTCCCCCCTTCCAGAAAGCTCAGGCTCTGCACAGCTTGGCACCGTTCCCGGTATCTGGTTCTTGGCCTCCGCACTGTTGTCGCCAGCTTCGGAAGCCAGTGGATTCCCATGGCAAACTTCATCATTGTTTGAAATCCTGTGGGATGGGCTCAATACTCCATTCATCCGGACTGAGGATGACGTTTGAAAATAAGTGTCGGACGAGCACTCTGTAATGCGATCGCTAGGCTTCTCCTTGCCAGACTTATCCGTGCTCCCCTCCGCATCCATCCGGGAATGGCTCCATCCTTCAGACAAAAGAGCCTCTAAACCTGGCAAGCCGTTAGCCGTGGGGCTACCGATGCAAGGCCTGCTGCGCACCGCCACTGCTGTACCTGCCGTCAATCTTGAAGACTCCGGATTCGAAAATCCACATGACGATGGCAACGATGATGGGCCGGAACTTCCACGAAGAGGTTCCATCTCCATTCTCTGCAGTGCATACGGTTCCACTGAGGTGGAGCCCGGATCTTGCGTGTGCACATACATATCAATAAACTTTCCTCTGCTACTCGTTGTTGAAGGCTTCTCAGCATCTTCTTCAGAACCAGTCCGCTGCTCCAGAGCAGGGCACATGTTCCTACCAGAATCCGCACACGGGAGAGCACCTCCTTCCCCTCTTGCTGAGGAGTCTGGTAATGCATGCTGGAAACGACAGGGCCATCGCACCGAAGAGTCAATCTCTCTCAAAGGGTCAGCCCTCTCATCAGGTTCACATCTTCCCAGCGGCATACGGAAGTCACTCCCACATTCCTGAAATTCAAACACAGCAATGCAAAGGACTGAAAACCGGCCCACCGACACTCGCACGCAAACAGTTCCATCGTTCTACACTTCGCAGTTGTTAGCAACTGTGGCACACCAAAGCACCCCACGAGGATGTTGCCCGTACAACCTCAATTTTTAGGGAAAACTTGTCACAGTGCTCTCGTTTTTACTGTAACCACATCAAAATGAATTTGTAACAGGGATCCCTTTCTGCGACCATTAAGATTGAAGTTGTCACACTTATTGCCAGACAACAACATCACAAACGATATCTGACACTTAGTTCGGGCAAATAACCTTAGATAAAACGCAGCCGTCAACTTGTAGAGCACTGTTGTGTCCAAACTTCAAACGTCAAACAACAGAGCCATCAAACGTCAAACTACAAAACCGTCAAACGTCAAACTCCAAAGGCACAACCCTGCTTTCCTTCAAATGTCGAACAACAAAGTCATCAAACTAGTGAAACTACAACGTAAATACCGTTTTCCAGGGGTTGCTAGAAGAGACATGGTGCACAACCTTGAGGTCGAACCACACCACGGCCACCATAGCCACACACGCATCATCACTCAACCAGAAAGGTCGATCCTGGGGGAAGGCAGTTCGCAGAGAGGGTGAGCAGGGCACACTTTATAGTGCCCAAGCCTTGGCGCCTCCCTACAGGAGCATCAAGTCCCTCAGAGCCTATCCCGACCCAAGTACCACAGAGTCCCTACGGCGGTGGGGAACACCTTTCCTGTTGGCACGGATAAATTAATGAATTGTATACGAGAAGATCGGTCAGCTCGGCTCCGCCCTCGTCAGGAAAAGGGAGATTGGAATGGAGGGAGAAGTATTAGAAGCGGTGTGAAGAAATCGAGGTTCAGGAGAATAAGCAGTTGTGACCGGTAGAGAAAAAGATGGGTGTTAGGGTGGTTGTTGCAGGAATTCAAATGTTATAGAGCTACTAACCTTTGTTGCATACCGATGTGGTGCAGACCAGAAATAAGAACCGACCTCTCTCAGATAGAGCAAGATAGCACAGCGGAAGAGTGAAATACCAATAATCAGACCAATCAATGTCGCAATGGAGACAGAACACACATCATCATCATCATCGCAAGGTGTGAAGGGCCTGGCACCACACTGAGGGAGAATGCGCCAGGCTCTGATCATACACAGATGAGGAGGAGGGGGATCAGACGAAGAGGAAGGGGAGAGGGGAATGTCGTCAACACAATGTTGGCGATATTGTTCTCAAATACTCCCCCACAATGTCTCTGTCCTAATGTCGAGTCTGAATCCAAATGCCGTCAAATCCCCAGAGTCACAAATCTCTCTCTCTCTCTCTCTCGCGCGCGCGCGCGTAGTCTGTCGATACTGAGAAGTCAGGAAGCTAGAGGGTAATGGAGAGATGGACTGGAGGAAGAAGAAGAAGAAGAAGAGCTCTCTCTCTCTCTTTCTCTCTGTGCCAGGTACCAACCTGTGAAAGGTGGCGCCTTGCTGCAGGTACACTGAAGACGAAGCTGGAGCGATTGCAGCCACGTAAGTTCCTTGGCCTCCGCCACTCTCCTCCTTACTAGCGCTACCCTAAGGTACAAGATGCGCCCAGCGCTGGAAGCCTACTCCTATCGTCACCTACTACTGCTGCAGCATCTCCGGAGAGTGCGGCTGCTGAATGCCCGAACACTGAATTCCCAGCCTCCTAGGGGGGCCGGCTATATAGAGCGCTGGTCCGGCTGGGAGGCTGTCCTCACCAATGCCGAACGGCGCCAGGGCCTGGTGCCCAAAAGGTCTGGCGCCTGAAGTTGGCGCCCAAATTCGAAATGGCCGAATTTGAAAAGGGCCTACCACCGCCTGGGCGACTACTGGGCCTCTACCGGAGTCTGGCACCAAAACGGACGCCAGGGCCAACCTACTGGGCCTACCGACCTACCGGACTCCCTAGGCCAAATCACATGGGGGCTGAAAAGGGCCCCTTCCAACTCTGAACTGACACAGGGCCCTAAAGGCCCCTACCGAACTCCTATCCTACCTGTTTGGGCCCTGCAGGGGCCCGTGTGGTACTCAGGATCCTCTGTGAGAAAGATAGACCTTGGTGTTGAGGTGGCATGATACCAAAGGAATGCAGGCAGGTAAAAAAAACAGCAATGGATGTTTGATGAAAAACGAAGATAGACAAAAAGTACATGGATCCTCTGTGAGAAAGAACGGTGTTTCAGGTCTATGAGATGAAGAATTAACAGCCTACCGCAAACATTGCCATGCCTTAAAGGCATATAAGTCAAAACCCGAACAAAGTACATGGATCCTCTGTGAGAAAGAACGGTGTTTCAGGTGTATGAGATGAAGAATTAACCCCCTACCGCAAACACTGCCAGGCCTTAAAGACAAAGTCAAAACCCCGCACGCCGTAGACACTACATACTTTGGCCACAAAGACAAACCACCAGTACACCTGGACCTGGAGGCGCCTTACTGCGGGCCAAGATTTTCTGAACCACCAGTGGCACACTTTTTCTTTTCTTGCTGGCGCTGCCAGCCATGATTGTGGTCCAGTAGTCTGAGCCTCTGGAATTTTCGTAGGCGACAAGTTGCATTTTCAGCAAGGCTGGGTCCGTGTACTGGCGGTTTAACCCCCTCCTCCCTCTTCCCGCGGCAAGTCTAGAATATACATCGTTTACACACCCACACATCTGTCCGTTTGTTCGATCCACAAACAACATTGGTTACTAAGATTCACCAAGAAAAACAGGGACAGCGGCCATCTTTTTCTTTTTTTTTTTAAAAGGAAGGGGGACAGCGGCCATCTAGTCGCTCGGTTAGGCCATTTCTTTCACTGGGTATATAGGGCCTCACCACACTACTCACCAAATGCACAGAAGACGAAAATTATGGCAACGCATCTTTCCAGGTTCTAACAAAAGACTCGTTCTCATTTTGTACATTGTGTGTGGCACAACGAGGCGCATGCTCACACTGGGACTTCTTCAACTTACCTCCGGATGTAGAACGCCGTGAGTCTTGTGCAATCAGGCCCCAGTGCGCAGCTGCTCTTTCCTTTCTTTTTTTAACTTTTTCTGAAGGGCCATGGCCTTGAGACATCATCATTGAACTGACCGGCCCAGTAACTCAGAAGGATTTCGTTCTGTTAATCCGATTTCTAAAATACCGGTTGCAGCTTTGCTTGTGAAACGGTTTTCACCTTCACGGTTGCAGATGCAGTTCAAAGGGTTCGATCACTAGAACTCACCCTCACCCATGTACAATACCAGTTGACCCATGTGCGTTTGAACCCACAACCTCCGTTCTGAAAGTTGTGTTTAGCTGTGGTATGTAGGGTGGTCGTCGGGTCTTGAGCCGTAGGTCTGTAGTTCAGGAGTCATAGCAAGTGGTCTTGTCGTAGCAGCTACACTAGCGAAGGGTCAAGTTGGAAGATCCGGAAGCAGTAGGAGTCAGTCCGCGTCTGAGGAGGCAGGGGGCAGTCCTAGCACAGTCAGCAAGGGGCAGTCCTAGATCTACTTAGCCCAGTCAGGGGATACCCGGTCCCGAGGTGCACTTCGTCCAGTCAGCAAGTACCATGTGGGACTGTGCACACCCCGGGCCCGAGGTCCAAAGGCAGACCTTTGACAATCCGAAGTGTAAATAAAGAGGCAGCGTCAAGTCATTCATTCATTCTGCCTGTGAGCCGTGCAGAAGTGCTGTCGGAGCGTCTTGTGTACGAAGATCTGCAGGTCCCGGTAGGAGAAGTGGGCTAAGAGGAGGAAGACGCTGCAGGTCTCTGAGCTTTGTGTGGGCGCAAGTTGCCAGCTTGATCGTCATCTCTTTGCATGCATGCTGAGTATCAAAGCATACAAGTCTGATTGCATTAGTATTGGAGCTGGTTTCCGCTGTCCCGTACGTCATCGTCGTCGCCGTTACAAAGGGAGTGCCACGTCTGCCACATCAGTGCGAAGAAAGAGGGCACCATGCCAGCATTCGCACAAGGGAGGCGCCACATCGTCATTAGCGTTGTCGAGCCACCGCCAGGAGAGAGAGGGGAGCTTCCCTCCCAGATCCCGTGCTGTTGCACGCAAGATCGCGTGCCAGCCACGTCCCCCGCAGCTACTGCGCACGCCGTTGCAGTTGCATGCACCCGTGCTGTTTGCCGCGCGTCGCTGCTGCTACAATTGCGTGTCAAAGCTTTGCGCGCCTGCGCGCGCTATCACCCGCGTTCGCTAGTCATCGCGCGCTCCTGCTGCTACAGCGCACATCCCGCTATTTGTCGTCCACCGGTTTCCCGCATTGCTGCCCGTTTCTTGCCGCGCGCCAGTTTTTCACACACATACGTAGAGAACATCCACTGCCACCGTAAAAAAGAAGCAGGCGGCCTCGTTGTAGAAGATCGCCGCTCTTGAAGAAGTTCGCTGCTCCAAGAAGCCGGCCATAGTTGCCTCGTGTGAAAGGAAGGAAACGACGACAAAGTAGAGAGAGAGAGAGAGAGAGAGAGAGAGAGAGAGAGAGAGAGAGAGAGAGAGAAGATTGGATTGTGCAGCCGAAGAAGAAAGTGGTGGTCATAGCCGCCGGATCTTGCTAGGAGGAAGGAGACCAAAGTGACGATGAAGAGGGAGAGAAGGAAGGAGGAAGAAGAGACGACGGAGAAGAATCCATAACCGAGGGTCGGGCAAGAAGAAGAGAGACGAGGGAAGGAGAGAGAGGGAGAGGTTGGCGAAGGAGAAGGGTCGGCAGCCATAACCGGGGGACAGAGAGTTGACCACTGGGGAGCCCCCGTCTGTCTTCCACCCACGAACAGGAAGACAAAACACAACAAAACAACAAACAAACAGAAGACAAAAAAGGAGAACACGAAAACGAACGTAGAACCACATATTGCACAAACCCGACGCAACTCGCGCCCCTTGCATCCAACGACTCACAAAGCAGACGTTCACATCACACGCCTCAGAATCGCCCACCCACTGGTTTCACGCTCCTGACCTTAACACCGACCGTCGGCAAGATCT